GAACGCGACGAATTTGTGGAATTACGTGTCTGCCATATTGTTTGGCTTTTTCGTCATGCGCCAGTTGTACCTCATGGTCAAGATGAGCATTCCCGAGTACAGCGGCTGGGACCATACTGCTGCCACCTTACGGCGAACGCGTTTGGCTCTTTTGCTCGTGGTTGACAGTGTGGTCTTCGTGCAGCTATGGCAAGTCGACTACGCGAGCAATCGCCAGGTGGCCCAGGGCATCGTAGCAGACACGAACGCCGTTCTGCCGTTGGGCGCTGACCCTGCTGGCCAACCGCGCAGTCGACAACAACTACAAGAAGCGTGCGCAGGCAGGCATGGTCTTCGTTGTCGTTCATCCCGATGATGGCAGTTTTGAGGCCATTCAGGCGCGCGTGACGGGGAAGCACAAGTCATGGGCAAATACGGGTGCAGGTCAGAAGACGTCGTGGACGAAAACGCGAACGTGATTTTCTTCTTCACGCTGCTGGTCAGTCAGCTCGTGGCACTCGTTCGTGTCTAGAGCACGAGAACGCGACGAATTTGTGGAATTACGTGTCTGCCATATTGTTTGGCTTTTTCGTCATGCGCCAGTTGTACCTCATGGTCAAGATGAGTATTCCCGAGTACAGCGGCTGGGACCATACTGCTGCCACCTTACGGCGAACGCGTTTGGCTCTTTTGCTCGTGGTTGACAGTGTGGTCTTCGTGCAGCTATGGCAAGTCGACTACGCGAGCAATCGCCAGGTGGCCCAGGGCATCGTAGCAGACACGAACGCCGTTCTGCCGTTGGGCGCTGACCCTGCTGGCCAACCGCGCAGTCGACAACAACTACAAGAAGCGTGCGCAGGCAGGCATGGTCTTCGTTGTCGTTCATCCCGATGATGGCAGTTTTGAGGCCATTCAGGCGCGCGTGACGGGGAAGCACAAGTCATGGGCAAATACGGGTGCAGGTCAGAAGACGTCGTGGACGAAAACGCGAACGTGATTTTCTTCTTCACGCTGCTGGTCAGTCAGCTCGTGGCACTCGTTCGTGTCTAGAGCACGAGAACGCGACGAATTTGTGGAATTACGTGTCTGCCATATTGTTTGGCTTTTTCGTCATGCGCCAGTTGTACCTCATGGTCAAGATGAGTATTCCCGAGTACAGCGGCTGGGACCATACTGCTGCCACCTTACGGCGAACGCGTTTGGCTCTTTTGCTCGTGGTTGACAGTGTGGTCTTCGTGCAGCTATGGCAAGTCGACTACGCGAGCAATCGCCAGGTGGCCCAGGGCATCGTAGCAGACACGAACGCCGTTCTGCCGTTGGGCGCTGACCCTGCTGGCCAACCGCGCAGTCGACAACAACTACAAGAAGCGTGCGCAGGCAGGCATGGTCTTCGTTGTCGTTCATCCCGATGATGGCAGTTTTGAGGCCATTCAGGCGCGCGTGACGGGGAAGCACAAGTCATGGGCAAATACGGGTGCAGGTCAGAAGACGTCGTGGACGAAAACGCGAACGTGATTTTCTTCTTCACGCTGCTGGTCAGTCAGCTCGTGGCACTCGTTCGTGTCTAGAGCACGAGAACGCGACGAATTTGTGGAATTACGTGTCTGCCATATTGTTTGGCTTTTTCGTCATGCGCCAGTTGTACCTCATGGTCAAGATGAGCATTCCCGAGTACAGCGGCTGGGACCATACTGCTGCCACCTTACGGCGAACGCGTTTGGCTCTTTTGCTCGTGGTTGACAGTGTGGTCTTCGTGCAGCTATGGCAAGTCGACTACGCGAGCAATCGCCAGGTGGCCCAGGGCATCGTAGCAGACACGAACGCCGTTCTGCCGTTGGGCGCTGACCCTGCTGGCCAACCGCGCAGTCGACAACAACTACAAGAAGCGTGCGCAGGCAGGCATGGTCTTCGTTGTCGTTCATCCCGATGATGGCAGTTTTGAGGCCATTCAGGCGCGCGTGACGGGGAAGCACAAGTCATGGGCAAATACGGGTGCAGGTCAGAAGACGTCGTGGACGAAAACGCGAACGTGATTTTCTTCTTCACGCTGCTGGTCAGTCAGCTCGTGGCACTCGTTCGTGTCTAGAGCACGAGAACGCGACGAATTTGTGGAATTACGTGTCTGCCATATTGTTTGGCTTTTTCGTCATGCGCCAGTTGTACCTCATGGTCAAGATGAGCATTCCCGAGTACAGCGGCTGGGACCATACTGCTGCCACCTTACGGCGAACGCGTTTGGCTCTTTTGCTCGTGGTTGACAGTGTGGTCTTCGTGCAGCTATGGCAAGTCGACTACGCGAGCAATCGCCAGGTGGCCCAGGGCATCGTAGCAGACACGAACGCCGTTCTGCCGTTGGGCGCTGACCCTGCTGGCCAACCGCGCAGTCGACAACAACTACAAGAAGCGTGCGCAGGCAGGCATGGTCTTCGTTGTCGTTCATCCCGATGATGGCAGTTTTGAGGCCATTCAGGCGCGCGTGACGGGGAAGCACAAGTCATGGGCAAATACGGGTGCAGGTCAGAAGACGTCGTGGACGAAAACGCGAACGTGATTTTCTTCTTCACGCTGCTGGTCAGTCAGCTCGTGGCACTCGTTCGTGTCTAGAGCACGAGAACGCGACGAATTTGTGGAATTACGTGTCTGCCATATTGTTTGGCTTTTTCGTCATGCGCCAGTTGTACCTCATGGTCAAGATGAGCATTCCCGAGTACAGCGGCTGGGACCATACTGCTGCCACCTTACGGCGAACGCGTTTGGCTCTTTTGCTCGTGGTTGACAGTGTGGTCTTCGTGCAGCTATGGCAAGTCGACTACGCGAGCAATCGCCAGGTGGCCCAGGGCATCGTAGCAGACACGAACGCCGTTCTGCCGTTGGGCGCTGACCCTGCTGGCCAACCGCGCAGTCGACAACAACTACAAGAAGCGTGCGCAGGCAGGCATGGTCTTCGTTGTCGTTCATCCCGATGATGGCAGTTTTGAGGCCATTCAGGCGCGCGTGACGGGGAAGCACAAGTCATGGGCAAATACGGGTGCAGGTCAGAAGACGTCGTGGACGAAAACGCGAACGTGATTTTCTTCTTCACGCTGCTGGTCAGTCAGCTCGTGGCACTCGTTCGTGTCTAGAGCACGAGAACGCGACGAATTTGTGGAATTACGTGTCTGCCATATTGTTTGGCTTTTTCGTCATGCGCCAGTTGTACCTCATGGTCAAGATGAGTATTCCCGAGTACAGCGGCTGGGACCATACTGCTGCCACCTTACGGCGAACGCGTTTGGCTCTTTTGCTCGTGGTTGACAGTGTGGTCTTCGTGCAGCTATGGCAAGTCGACTACGCGAGCAATCGCCAGGTGGCCCAGGGCATCGTAGCAGACACGAACGCCGTTCTGCCGTTGGGCGCTGACCCTGCTGGCCAACCGCGCAGTCGACAACAACTACAAGAAGCGTGCGCAGGCAGGCATGGTCTTCGTTGTCGTTCATCCCGATGATGGCAGTTTTGAGGCCATTCAGGCGCGCGTGACGGGGAAGCACAAGTCATGGGCAAATACGGGTGCAGGTCAGAAGACGTCGTGGACGAAAACGCGAACGTGATTTTCTTCTTCACGCTGCTGGTCAGTCAGCTCGTGGCACTCGTTCGTGTCTAGAGCACGAGAACGCGACGAATTTGTGGAATTACGTGTCTGCCATATTGTTTGGCTTTTTCGTCATGCGCCAGTTGTACCTCATGGTCAAGATGAGTATTCCCGAGTACAGCGGCTGGGACCATACTGCTGCCACCTTACGGCGAACGCGTTTGGCTCTTTTGCTCGTGGTTGACAGTGTGGTCTTCGTGCAGCTATGGCAAGTCGACTACGCGAGCAATCGCCAGGTGGCCCAGGGCATCGTAGCAGACACGAACGCCGTTCTGCCGTTGGGCGCTGACCCTGCTGGCCAACCGCGCAGTCGACAACAACTACAAGAAGCGTGCGCAGGCAGGCATGGTCTTCGTTGTCGTTCATCCCGATGATGGCAGTTTTGAGGCCATTCAGGCGCGCGTGACGGGGAAGCACAAGTCATGGGCAAATACGGGTGCAGGTCAGAAGACGTCGTGGACGAAAACGCGAACGTGATTTTCTTCTTCACGCTGCTGGTCAGTCAGCTCGTGGCACTCGTTCGTGTCTAGAGCACGAGAACGCGACGAATTTGTGGAATTACGTGTCTGCCATATTGTTTGGCTTTTTCGTCATGCGCCAGTTGTACCTCATGGTCAAGATGAGCATTCCCGAGTACAGCGGCTGGGACCATACTGCTGCCACCTTACGGCGAACGCGTTTGGCTCTTTTGCTCGTGGTTGACAGTGTGGTCTTCGTGCAGCTATGGCAAGTCGACTACGCGAGCAATCGCCAGGTGGCCCAGGGCATCGTAGCAGACACGAACGCCGTTCTGCCGTTGGGCGCTGACCCTGCTGGCCAACCGCGCAGTCGACAACAACTACAAGAAGCGTGCGCAGGCAGGCATGGTCTTCGTTGTCGTTCATCCCGATGATGGCAGTTTTGAGGCCATTCAGGCGCGCGTGACGGGGAAGCACAAGTCATGGGCAAATACGGGTGCAGGTCAGAAGACGTCGTGGACGAAAACGCGAACGTGATTTTCTTCTTCACGCTGCTGGTCAGTCAGCTCGTGGCACTCGTTCGTGTCTAGAGCACGAGAACGCGACGAATTTGTGGAATTACGTGTCTGCCATATTGTTTGGCTTTTTCGTCATGCGCCAGTTGTACCTCATGGTCAAGATGAGTATTCCCGAGTACAGCGGCTGGGACCATACTGCTGCCACCTTACGGCGAACGCGTTTGGCTCTTTTGCTCGTGGTTGACAGTGTGGTCTTCGTGCGGCTATGGCAAGTCTACTACGCGGGCAATCGCCAGGTGGCCCAGGGCATCGTAGCAGGCACGAATGACCCGGCGGCGGCGACAAACCGGACGAACCGGATTGTGTCGCGAAGACGCGGATGGTGTTTGGCTGACGAGGAGCAGAAGGAGACACAGGATGCGATGCATGCCGAGTGCAGGTGACGAGAAGCGGTGGTGTGGGTTATCTGGGGTCGAGCCCGTCATTGCGGTGGAGGTGGAAGTAATTAGCGAGTTCCAAGGCACGGCCATTGCCGAGGTGAACCGTCGTCGCGGTCTCATTAACAGCAGCGATGCCGATGACATCCACACTGTCATTAAGTGCGACGTACCCCTGCAAAACATGTTTGGTTTCTCGACGGATTTGCGGTCATCCACTCAGGGCAAGGGCGAGTGCACGATGGAGTACAAGACACATGGCATTGTCATGCGTGACATGCAGGAGAAGCTGATGAGCGAGCACGAAAAGGCGCAAGCGGCCAAGAACAAGCAGATGTCCGGGTGCTTGGATTTTGCTCGCTACGACATGTGCATGGACGAACTCTGCAACGGTTGGCGATAGACAATGTTGTGGGATACAAGATGGAAGAGACTCGATATTCAGCAACATGACAAACGAAGCTGAGTCATGGATCTAGAATTTCTACAAGCACCATGTGTACGGACAATGAGGTACACCTAGTGAAAGGCGAGTGGTATGTTCACCGACAAAGACGGCGTCCAGTGGTACGAAGAGCGCGCTTGTGTTTCGAAGCGTTGTGATTGGTGCGTTTGTGTGCTTCTTTTCGTCCAATCATAGGACGGGATGTGTCGCTGCGCTCGTTCGCGCGCGTTTTCACGCGGTCGACCGACGCGAACGAGCGGTCGGTCGCCTTCGCAGCAGATGGCGGCGGGGGCGCTCTGCGGGCGCTCCTCGTGGGGTCTCTCCCGCCCCACTGCCGTCTGCTCGAGAGCCGTTTACCGTATGCAGTGCGTCGTCCTCTCAGCCACTTGCGGCGGCGCATTGGTGGCCGACGGCGTTGCGCGGCGCACGTCCTCGAGCGCTGTCCGGTCGGACGCGGCCTACCAGTCGATCCCTCACGACGGCCCGGCGGCGCTTCAGGGAAAGGCCGCGGGCGCGCAGACGTTCGTGTGTGTGAGAAGTGCATTGCGACGGTGGCCAGTGGCACTGCGTTTGCACGGAAGGCGGCGAAGCGACGCCGTCACGAGACGCGAACACGGACGTGAGCCGCATGTCGCAGGAGAAGATACTGTCAAATGCGATGCACAGCAAGAGCTAATCGTCGGAGCAGTGGCAGCAAGTGGTACGTCGCACGTGCCTCAGCACAACGGCGTTTGTGGACCCGAAGCACGCGAAGAAGGCGGTGCGAGCATGAAGGGCAGTGGCCGCCGTGTCCGCTTGATGGACTGTGGCGTGCACGGCCTGGACGGCAAGATGGGGAATACTGCGACTCGATTGCAGGGGTCCGCAACTACCACGAGCCGTCGTTTCGGTCGGCCGCCACGTCGACGTACTCGATTGCGAACCGAGCGGCGGAGCCTGTTGAGACTCCAGACGTGTGCAAGTACAAGAAGTTGGGCAGTGACCTGTTTTGCGCGTTGTGCTTTGGCATGGCGGCTACGGGTGTTGTTTGGCTGCACTACTTGACGACGATGTACCTGCAGCAGTACTTTTGTGACCAGGCGCGGCCGACGCTACCGTGCGACACGCACGTTGCCAGCTAGTGAGACGGACGGGCGTTTCAGCTCGAAGGGTCCATTTTGACGCAGACTCGGGCTATGGATATTCGTATCCGGAACGTGCCGTTTATGTCGTGGGTCCATGTACGCCGTGATGGTTTTCAGCGAGCGTCTCACTTTGTTTTTGGGACTGCTGTCCGACTTCAGTATGTGGCGTCCGACTCGTGGTGGTGCGCGGTGCACGAACGACTTCAAGCCGTCTATTGTCAAGGAACAGCGGCCGACGGTCGACATCTTTTTGTATTACTACGTGGAACCGGTCGCGGGTTTGACGTAGACAGTGAAGATCTGTCTTTCGCTGCAGTATGCACCCGAGCTCGTCCACGTCTTTGTGCTGGATGATGGCAACACTGGGTCTGTGTGGGACGCGAACGACCACTTGAAGGTGACGATGAACAGCAATGTGATTGAGATATGTGGTGACTTGCGCGGCAATCTTGCGCGACTCATGCACGAGCGTGTGGTGGGCCTGATCAAGACGACCAAAGCTTGAAGACGAGGCGTCGCCAGCACAGCTCTGTCTGTGGACTTCGCAAAGACGGTGGCAAGAGTGTGCAGCGTCGTGGTTGTGCTGTCGTCTCGCTTTCGGATGACTTCGACTTCTGTGAGCGGGGCTATCCGCGTGTGACTTGAATGAATGAATGAACTCGAGACGCACCACTCGAAGGCAGACAACATGAACAATCGTTTGCTCAACGAAGGTGCTGACGGCACGTATGTGCGAAGCCTGGACAACGACATGAAGCCGCATCTTAAGTTTTTGCTTGCGGTGCTGTCGTAGGATTTCTTGGAAGGCGAGGCCATCGACAGTGGAGGACGTCAGTACAGAAACGATATTTCGTGGACCCAAGTGTCTTTCGTGCAGACTATTCAGTACTTTGAGGGCATGCCTCAGTTGGCGATCATGGGTGACCGGTGCGAGCACAAAAACGCCATCGTCTTCGACGCTGTGTGCAGCTGGTCGTGATGGTTTCGACCCTGCAGCTTTTGTTGGTCAAATGCTGTGTTCTGTCGCCGAGCCTTTGACTCGATTGGTGGCAGTCAGTACGGTGCGGTACTCAGACTGATGATGCGTTCACGAGGAACGTGGTCCGCACTTCTGGTTGGGACTCGGTGTGCCTACGCACGGATTTCGAGGGAGATGCCAAGGACCGTAGTTGATTGTGCGAAGTTGCTGTTCCTGAAACAATGGCTACTGCTATCGACTAGAAGAAGCGTTGGACAAAGGGAGCTCTGCAGATTCTGCTGATGCAAAATGAGAGCGAAGTCGACTCGGACTAGCGTCCACCGCGTGTGCCTGCCCGTAACCGGACCCGAAGCCATCTCTTGCGTTCCCGCGCAATATGTTTTTCTACGACTCGGTGCTGTACCCGTATGGTACGGTGTGCCTGCCCTGTGCTGCGTGGCGATCGCTATCTTCTATTCTTGCATGGGAGACGCGCCGATCTACGCTCGTGTAACGAATACCCTGTACTCTTTCTTG